TTTTGCCTCTGGTTGACCTCACTGCTCTTCCTTCAGTGGCAGCTGAGCATGACTGAGCACAGGTGAGAGTTCAGAGGTCAGCACTGTAGGGGGGAATGTTGCGGTTGCAGTCTCTCGGGTCCCATCCCAGAGTCTGACTCGGGAGTTTATCCCCTGACCTTTCACCTCTTGCTTCAGCATCACTCTCACTACCCTAAAACATGCGTGACTAATCTGTGTCTGAGTGTCTTTTTAAAAAAAATAAAATAATAATAAATGTTCACTTTTTTGTGACCTCACACTGTAAAGGATGTCCTCATGAGTGATATGAGGTGGTGGTTCAGCTTGACCTCATGCATTAGGTTATACACTTGCATACAGACTCTTCATAGAGGTGGTAATTAAATTATTTGTGTGTTAACTCTGGGTCTCTCAGGTATGTTGCGATGTTCCCGTACACACCCCGTAAGGAGGATGAGCTGGAGCTGAGAAAGGGCGAGATGTTCCTGGTGCTGGAGCGCTGTCAGGACGGCTGGTTTAAAGGAACATCCATGCACACTGGCAAGATCGGAGTATTTCCTGGCAACTACATGAGTCCTATCAGCAGGTAGCTTATATACATACACACACTGGTCATTGGTTCATATTAGTTCAGCTGTTGTCATTTATTAATTGCATTAATTGTATTTTTTGTATTTTTGTAAATCTTTTACAAAGTATTTTAAATCTCAGTAGGACTTTCCTTCATAAATAAACCATATTCATATATTTAGATGTTATTCAACATTTATTTATTTATTTTTTTCAGAACCGTGGCAAGCAGCAATCAGCCCAAAGTGCCATTAGCAATGTGCTCGCAGGCTGGACGCAGCGTCACCATAGTTAGCGCCTCGTCCTCTCCGATCGGAGCCGCCCTGGGTGGCGTTGACCCCAACAAGCCCCTCCCTATTTGCACAGGCCCCGCCCCTTCAAGCCCCATTCCGGCGGCCGTAGTGACAGCAGCTCACATGCCGCCTGGTCAGCATCCCAAAGTGCTCATGCATGTGACGTCACAGATGACGGTGAACCAGGCACGCAACGCTGTGAGGACCGGTAAGATATCACCATATCTCTTACACTGTAATGAATAATTAAAAAATATATATTTTTAAATATACACCTCCTTCTGTAATTTAACTTATTTATTTGCTGCAAATTGCCAGCAGCATTATGGCTTTCTCAGAGATAAGTCAAGCACAGCTAATTAAAATATTGCACAATGTCTGTGGAAACCTCAACTGAAAACTAGCCTCCGAGTTGCATTTGTGCTTAACCGAGGCTTACACTAGTTACTAGTGTAACCTCCCAGCATGTACAGAGGTAATATTGTATAGAAATGACATTTTTGGTCACTGATTAATACAGTCCATGCTTTTCTTCTGGCACACACTTAGCTGTGTGTCACAATCAGGACCGCCCCACTGCAGCCGTAACGCCCATCCAATCCCAGAACGCCGTGGCTTTCCTGCCTCACCTGGCTGTGTGTCCGCAGCCGTCACCTGGCAGCGTCTCCGCCTCGAACCCTACGTCAAGTAGAATAGGAGTGGCCATGGGCTGCGCTGCCGCCTCACTTACCCCACCAAACATCAGCGCTGCTTCTCTGGAGGTCGATGGCATGAGACCCACCGCCATGGTGTCACTCCCAGTCGCTCCTGGCAACGCCAAGCCTCTTGGTGCCACCGCAGCAAATCAGGCTCCTGCTTGTAAACTAGATAAGGACTTCAAGGTGAGGCACTGCAGTTACATCCCAGAGTTTAGGTTTGCTGATGAGGATGATAGCTGAGAAAAAGTAGAGAATTGTGTGTGTGTGTGTGTATGTATATCTCACACTTGAGGAATTGTGTCTGTGTGTGCTCATTTACTTCTTCTAATTAGCTAATCAACTAGTCTTTAATGGTTTGAATCGGAGAGAGATGTTCTGCAGTGCAGTGCGTGAACACCCACTAATGGCGGCCTGAGGATACTTAACAGCATAAAACATCTGCTGTCCTGGAATCTGCGCTGTTAAAATGCCGAATAAAATAACATGCAGAGAATACTGCCAAGAAAACCAAGCCCGAATTTCCATGATCCTGCATGCATGTTGTTTTGTGTCATTTTATCCCTTAGCTATGTGTATCTGATCCAGTGCATTACAAAACCCTTTTTTTTCTGGTGTACAAGATCGATCTATTTGAAAATCACAAACATTTATTCGTGAATTTTTCTAAACCTTATGCTTTCTTATGTAAGGGGGAAAAAACATGCCAGGGTGTGTTATAGGAAAATAATCAACACTGTCCATTTTTTATTGGGAAAAAAAAAATGTCTCTTTTTTTTTTTTTTTAACGGATGTGTTTAATGCCGTGGAACATACACAAAACTTCCTGTTACTACTCGCGGTATATCATCTGTAAACAGTCATTTCTTTGACAGTCTCTCTTTTTTTTTTACTTTCTTTTGAAGTTAATAAGACACAAAAACACAGCTTGTCATGTTACCAAGAAATAGCAAAACCCTCTGTCTTGAAGACTTAGAGAAAAGCACTGACACTGGAGACTCATCCATAAATGCTAAATAAACAGAGATGGTGAAGCTTTCTGAAAGGAGACTTTCATGTGCGGAGTCCGCCATACAACTCCCTGTCCAAGTTACTACCCTTACTATAGAAACGATCATGTATTTGAATGAGCACATTAACATAAAGCTAGGAATGAATATTAAATAATTCGCAGTCACTGCTCAAGGTTTTGTCTCTGTCAGCCAGGAGCCTCCTCCACATGCGTGATTTCCCAGACTGGTACCTCTCCTATCCCTCTGAGATAGACTGATGATGTTCCTCTTTTATTTTTCCTGCGATCAGGGATGTCAGGCATAGCTCACATTTTTCAGCAGCCTCCAAGAAATGCAGTTGAGATCCTTAAAGCCGTGACACTTCAAGGTGATTTTGAAGAACTTGCGCCATCTAAGACTGACTGTCGCCTGTTCTGTGAAAAACTGCACTTGAGGACACAACAAAGATTACAGTTGATAGTTGAAATGCATGCGTGTGTCTCCCTCTGTGAGAAAGAAAATAGTAGCAGTATTATGTATTATTAATGAAAAAGAATATTGAAAGATACTGTATTGCAGAAAACATCCCAAGTTGGATACCATTGCTAACTATTATGTCACATTGTGTATAGAACTGTATCAGTAGTTACAGTCGGATACTAATTTGGATAACTGTGTAGCGCCCTAGTAAGTAGTTTTGGGACGTGGCCGAATAATTAGCCAGACTCCCATTTTCATGACTTTGTGAATCTGTATAAATGCTCTGCTTGAAAGTTAATCAGTCTGATCAACCATTTACCAGATGATGATACCTTCTTAGGATACTTTCCCACTTGCCGTCTTTTTCTCAACTGCCAGTGCGGGTGTTGCATCCTATGGGAAGCGGTTGCTTTTAAAAAAAAAGTTGCTGTCAGCGTCTTCTCCGTCATAATGGTCGCCATTTTCGCCTCCAAAAGTTACAAAAAAAGTTTTAGAAAAGCTCCCATCTCCTGATCAATTCGGTAACTCATTGGGCAAGTAAGAAAACACAAAATGGAGGAAAGCATGCCAGTAAAAAAATTATTCTTGTTAGTGAGCATATACAGTGTAATAGGATTTATGACGTGTTGAATCGTAACTAACAACGTAGCTAGAAATAACTTTGGATATTGACCTGTAGGGATGCGACGTCCCAGTTTAACTCGCAGCTCACTTCTGGTTCTGTTCTCCTGCACTGACTCACTTGGCTAAACAGCAATCAGAGAACTGCCTCACTCTTGGCTTCCGATGCTAATTTAATTTCGCTGATGACTAAAGGTGACCTTGGTATATATCAGCCATTATCATATCATGTGTTCATTTTTTCCCCATGTAAGAATGTAAGAACGTTTCAGCTTCTGTCAGCCTTGTTCTGTGTGTTTATGTAAACTCCTGTACTCTCTTGTTACTTTAGAGGGAGAAGAAAGGCCTGTTGAAGCTGTTGTCAAATAAAAAGAAACTCCGCCCCTCTCCCCCATCTTCCCCAACTCTGGAGGCGGAGCAAGCCGTTGCCGCGGACATGCCGCAGGGTGCCATGGCAGCTGAAATGCCCGTGCCAAACTCCACAGCAGTGGCCAGTGGAAACCATTCCCGGACCGGACTCTGTCCTGTGGAGGCTGAGACACCTGCACCTTCATCATCAACGTCGTCATCATCATCAAATGCTGATGCTGCACGCAGGAGTGGCTGTCAAGAAAACTCCGCCCCCATTGCACCGCCACCACGGCAACCGTGCTCCTCTCTCCTGTCCATGCAACATGACGGACGGCCAATAGTGTGTGAAAGGTACAGAAACATCAATATGGTACTTTTATTTATTTTATTTTTTTTATATAAACAAAAGCAAGCAAAAGTGATTATAGGAATTTACTGAACGTAGCAGCACACCTAAATGGAGAAAGTTTTCAATGAAAATTAAAAGAACATTTGAAATGCAGGGCCGGAAATACATGAGTATTGAATCTGTAGACTTATTTTTAGGTCTGTCTCTGTGTTTAGTACGTGTTTAGTACGTGTTTAGCATGTGTTTAGTAGCCACAGAAACAGCTTTCAAGGCAGAAACTGTAATGGCTTGGAGTACAGTCGTTATCTTGAAAACTTTCATCCCTCAAAACAAGGCTGAAGTTGGCCCCTTATTCTCCAGTTTCTAATTTGGATTTTACGTTCCACCTTAATAGGTCCAGTAGTTACGTTCTAATGCCTGTAGATGGCACCTTGAAGTACACTAATATGACATGTTGATGATGATGATGTTCCTTCCTTGCCACAGTGGATCATTGGTCCACATATTTGATTTGGCCCAGGTTTTTTGTTTACATTTTTTTTTTAATACGCCGGATGCCTTTCCTGAAGCAACCCTCCCCAGTTTTATCCAAGCTTGGGACCGACACTGGGAGTACACTGTCGTGTGCAACCCCAGTTGCTGGGGTCGGTTCCTTGGCCAGGAATCGAACCTGGGCCGTGGTGGCAAGAGCGCCGAGACCTAACCACTAGTCCTCCAGGGACCCACTAATATCACTTATGATAGACATAATAAATAATAAAACTCAAAAGGCTTTATGTTGTTTGATCTTGATTATATGATTTTGCCTTAGCCGTGCAGGACCACATGATTTTTAGCACATTGCAAATGACTAGTGGCTTCTGGTCGCTCCCTGCGGTTCACTTTTTGTGGCTCGTGCTGCATGGATCAAACTGGTCAAAAGTGGTCCGGTGCAGTTCGTAATTGCTGATATGGTTGATAACTGTACAGTCGTGCTGGATAGCTCAGTTTCATCCTGCTTTTTGGGTTGTTTCGCTTCTTATAGTTGTGTCTTGCTCGTGTGGCGTGCAGAATTAAATCCCGCAGCAAAGAGCTAGGCGACTTTTCTTTCACAAGTGGACGTTTTGTTTAAGGGAAACATTGCTTATACGGTCATTTACACTGAAGGTCAATTTTTTT